GAACTTTGAAGAGGAGAGTGACGGGAAAGATGAGAACCATAGAAAACTACTGGTGACCTGAATAAGGAAACTCTAAAGAGGGTTGGGTGACCAACCGAAAACTGCAGAAGTGACAGAGCTGATTTCAGAGTCTAGATCAAGAAGGGCACTGTAATTATGGGTTTGTTCTTTGGAACTACACTGAGGGAAGCTAGGCTCTTGGAGAATCTACATGGCTTTACGATTCTGGATATTTTTCCCCAATTAGTCATGTGCTTGCTAATCTAGTATTTCCAGAAATTTATTCTTCTCCAGCAAATGCAAGGGTATTTCTTAGTTTCTTGGGAAATATTTTGATTTGGAAACTTGAAATGATTAAAATAAAAAAGTCTTTATATTGATACAGTTAGACTAAATATGTAAATCACAAATAATTTATAATGATATTGTCAGAAGAAACTGAGAGACATCATCTGAATAAAATCCAGAATTGTCATAGTTGCCATTACCTCCAAGTCTGGAAGGGAAATTCCACTTGAATGAAATTAAAAACTAGACCATACTTTTACTATCATAAAGTACCCTTTATTTATTGGCAAGAAAACCAATAATCATTGCTTTCTAATGTATCAAATGCCATTGTTTTAATTTGCTAGTTGTATCACTATTGGCATGCTAATTAACTTCTCTGAGCTTCAGTTTCCTCACATGTTCCTCAAAATGCGACTCTAACATGTCTGTTGGCTTCTAACACTTGGCACCAAACTGCTGCTGGCCACACATTCTCCTTCTTCCCCGGGATATTCATGGAGACTTTCAGAATCACTCTGACTCACTATTTCTTCCACTTTCCAATCACAAAGCAGTTGAAATTTGCACCATAAGTTACATATTAATCTAAATTTTTGGTTATGGACTCTAATTTCTGAGGGACTCCAAAAGAGCTTGTGGCTAATGCACTACTTCTGTGACCAACAGAAACCATTCAAAAACAGCAGAAATGCCAATAAATATTTATTGGATGAATTAACCCGTGTAAGAAAAATACGTAGCATTAATAACCAAAATAGTATATGAATTGGGTAGACCTAACATTTTCTAGGCATTCCTTCCCAATAAATAATCAGTGGGCTGATGGTGATTTTTAAGCTGTATTTCTGATTCCTCCTTTGCTTCAGTGGTTAGTATCTGTGGCAGCTAGTTTTTCGGATGGCTTCTTTGGTCACCACCTCCTGGTACTTGTCCCTCCCACACGGAATCAGAACTGACTCTAGGAGGTCAACAAAATGCAGGAGTGACAGTGGTGACTGCAGAGGTTATATCAAGAAAAGGTACTGTACATACGGGCTTGTTCTCCTGAAGAACTTGTTCTGAGGGAAGCCAATCACCATGCCTGAATCAGGTGATACTGAAATGAACTTTCAATCATTTTCACAGTGTTACGCTTTGAACAATAGTTTGAGTGTCTTCCAACAGTCCATGAGATAAAGGCCTTAAGCCAGAGTTTCATGTTAATAGATTAAGGATGGAATTTAATGAATTTATGCTGGCTGAAGGTTGGGCACTGCAAAGTGACTAGATTGGATCAGTATGTTAGAACGGGGTCGCCATGTCAGAGTCCAGGTGGCTTTTTCAGAAGAGACCACAGAGGGTAGACAATGAGTGTTCTCTTTGCCTCTCTGCTTCTTGACTTACAATGTGATGCTCCTTTCATGGGCACCCCACCATCTACTGCCCTCATCAGATCCCACATTAACAGGATGGCCCAATTGTGAATCTCCAAAATTGAGCTCAAATTAACTTCCCTTAAGAAGTGGTTTCTCTTAGATATTTTAATAGTAATGAAAAGCTAATATAGCCACATCTCATTTTCATTCTCTAAATTCTACAAACTGCTTTTGTTTGTTCTAAGTAATTCCTTCCTGGAACATGATACATTATCAAAGTAAATTTGATAGGCATTCTAGAAGCTAAATTACTCTGCAATCAGGAGTCTCCTGGATGAATCACTCTGCTTAACTAAATGATAGCAAGCATCCCAAAACGAACAGCAGAGTAAAATCCAGATACTTCCGGTAGTTTCACTTTTGTTTTCAAAATATCAGCAAGCCTTAGGGAGAAATCAGGCAACCGATATGAAAACAGGTACACACTGGGGATTACGAAACGGCAAAGTGTTTTTATTAATTTTAGATAATGATTTTTCTGGTTAAAGTGATCAGGCTTGATTAAATTAGATTTTTATTAACTTTTCGGGCTCCCACTGCTTTAGCTATGCAAGGAAGCGTAGCACTTCATGTACGTCTGGTACCTCTGTTGCTTCCCAGGCAGATCAGACAATCCCGTACATAAAATGGGCTCTTTAATTCTTTATGTCAGTGGAACTATTCATTTAGTCAGAGGCTTATTAGGTACTTCTTAGGATTGCCCACATCCATTATAAAGTGCTCCAAACAGCGTGTGAACATGCAGAGGAAAAGGAGAGGTAGAGGAGGTCAGCTCAGTTCAGTCTGTGCTTCCAGCGAGCCTCTGTGGGCCTTAGCTTCTTCAACTTTCAAATAAGGGGTCAAATAAAAAGAAATACATCTTTAAAAATAACAGAATAAAATAAGGGGTCTCAATCCATAAGTGGTTATAAAATTCTATTCCAGCTCTACGATGTTCAATAGGAAAGCTGCTGAGTGAGGAAACTTTTGAATGTCGTTTCCCTCCATTCTGGATGAAGATAGATCACAAATAAGTCTCATTCACCAATGGTTTTACTGTCTGCACCAACCGGAGAGTGGTAGCTCTATCATTAGCTGTGAGGAGTTAAGCCTTTCAATGCAACTTAGCCAATCATGCTAAAAATAGAGCTGAGATGTAACTAGTTCACGAAATAATCATAAGGAAGTACAGTATGTATATTGTCCACTAACTTCCTCCCTCTACAGAAATAGAGAAATGAGGGCTTTTTGCAGAGGTCGTTGCTACGTTTACCATAACTATTGAATTTCCTCAATACCCTGTTTAATTTCCTTTTTTTACTGACTAGAGTTGCTGTCATACAAGAATCTATTTACACTGATTAGTGATATTGAACAGTGAAGAAGACCAGAAAATTATCTGATATTTGGCATCACCACTTTGAACAATATCACCTTAGCTGGCATAAACTACACAATCAGGTAAGGCTGATTATCTCTTCATTTTCAGCTTAAACATTAACTGTAAAAGTTCTTGATAGGATTAAAATTTGACCTTTTTTTGAAAACTGACCAAGAAAACATACTGAGTATATCGATTATGTAGGCAATCGTTAGTAACTGTTAAAGTGGCAGAACACTGCCCTTTTGTCCAATCAGTAGAGATATAATGTGTGCAGGGATGATCTGAGGCAGACTTTCTACTGAAGGGAGTGTGGGCTTGGAGCCATTTTCTGGAAAGCAATTCTGCATCTGTAGCATGTACTTTTTATTTGATTTTCTAAGTACAGTGTTATTTTCTAAGGTTGAGAAACCAATTATCTTGTGGTTCTTATATCAAGACTTTCTTTTAATATAATCATAAAGGAAGCTGCGTTTATTACATAAGATCAAAATGTAACATTCACTATGTAAAATCAAATTTAACATATGATAACTGTTTCCTAAGAAATACACTGGCTCCCTTCACTTTCTCCTTGATGAATTTTTAAATCAGTGAGGTTACAGATCAAGCCCTGCATATTTATGATTGGGTCCAGAGTAGCTGCACCAGGATTCTAGCTCATCAGGGTGCACTGGATTCTGAGGCAAGCTCACTGCGAAACGTGGACTACTGTCTAAGTGAAAACTCAGAGACATAAACTAAAATAACAGAGACACTGATTAGGAGTCAAGGGCCTCAGTATTTGAAGTAAGACACTGTGCAGCCTTCAAGATTTCAGATCTTTGGACATGGATTATTCGGGTTAAAAACTATTTCAAAATTGTAATATACCATATATATTTTTTTGGAAAATCCCTATTTCCATAATCCAAGATGCAGAAAATAAATAAAACTTTGATTCTAAAGAAGGGTGGAGATTATAACAGGTGTGAGCATATGTGAATCTCAGGAGGTGGTATATGGTAACATGTTTATCAAAACAGAGAAGATGATTTCAACAAAACAGACGAAAGAGGTGGAGATGCTGTGCCCACAGGCTATGGTGAAGGGATTCAGAGAAATGCAGAACATTCTGACAAGAGCTTATGAGTATTATTTATACCGAATCTCCTTATTTCTCTTTGTTATTCTCAGTTGAAAGAAATAAGGAGGAAAATCAGAATCAAAAGGAGTTTATATGTACCTCTTCACTTCATTTGTATTCTTTGAAGGAATAAAGATTTAAAAATATAATTTAAATAGTAAAAACCACATCTACAATTAGGTTGAGATTAAAAGATCTTATCTGCTAAAAAAAAAATCTACTGAAAAATCTAGATGTGAAGTTGCACATGAGGACACATGAGGGCGCCCTAACCAACAAGTACAGTGACTAGCTTTGATAGGCATTTAAAGTTACCTAAAATATGATGGCTTAGCACTAAATATACTAAAACAGAAATAACTGATGCACTTTGGCAATGACCCTGGGTCTATCTTTGGTTGCTGTCTTTTCTTTATGTTCAATTCAGGACCCTGCCTGAGTTTTCATTCATATGGAATTGAGTATTTTGAAATATGCAAAGAGACCCTTTTTAATATAGGTTTTTTAATATAGATTATTGGGAAGTGCTCCCACCTCGTCATGAATTGACATCATCCTAAAACTACTTATGTTGAATTAATGTGCTTATTAAAAAGTAGAGTTCTCTTTCTATTATTGTAGCTACAGAATATTTTTATAATATTTTCCCTGGGTTTATTTTTAGGTCTATGCAAATAGGGGTTTTTTTTTTTAGGAAAAAAATCATCATCATTTACACATTGTTATACAAGCTAAGAACTATAAATTCCTCTAGGACAAAATGATAAATTTCAAGTACTTAACTATTTGCACCAAATTTTATTTTTTAGACAAATGCATTATCAGTTTCAATAATCAACCATTTGCTTTTACTTCAAACAATCGTGACCAGCAAAGGTAAGAAGACATCTATAACTTTCCCTTTTCACCCAACACATTTTTTCAATGAATTCTTCCCTCATCTGATGCTTCTTGTCTATTTTTTTCACTTTCAGTGCCAATCATGATTTTAGTAAATGTTTGCAATTTTGTTCTAGCTCCTGTGACATAATTCAAGAAGATCTGACATAAATGAGTTACAATTCAACATGTATTCAACCATCTACGATCTCCTCTGTGGCTTTACCAATCATTTACACCTTCCTTTGTATTGTTGGTCTCTTTGGAAACTCACTCTCTCAATGGGTGTTTTTAACAAAAATAGGTAAGAAAACCTCAACACATATCTACCTGGCACATCTTGTGACTGCAAATTTACTTGTGTGCGGTGCTATGCCATTCATGGGCATCTATTTCCTGAAAGGTTTCCAATGGGAATATCAATCTGCACAATGCAGAGTGGTCAATTTTCTGGGAACTTTGTCTATGCATGTAAGTATGTTTGTCAGCCTCTTAATTTTAAGTTGGATTGCCATAAGTCGCTATGCTACCTTAATGAAAAAGGATTCCATGCAGGAGACCACTTCGTGCTATGAGAAAATATTTTATGGCCATTTACTGAAAAAATTTCGTCAGCCCACCTTTGCTAGAAAACTATGTGTTTACATATGGGGACTTGTACTGGGCATAATTATTCCAGTTACTATATACTACTCAGTCGTAGAGGCAACGGAAGGAGAAGAAAAACTGTGCTATAACCAGCGGATGGAAGTAGGAGCCATGACCTCTCAGACCGCAGGCCTTATTGGGAGCACATTTATTGCATTTTCATTTTTAGTAGTGGTAACATCATACTACTCTTTTGTCAGCCATCTGAGAAAAATTAGGACTTGTACATCCATTACGGAGAAAGATGTGACTTACAGTTCTGTGAAAAGACATCTTTTGGTCATCCAGATTCTACTAATATGGGGGATATGGGGGGGGGGGCGGGGGGGAGGGGGGGGGGGGGGGGGGGTGTGGGGGTGAGGAGGGGGGTTGGGGGGGGGGGGGGGGGGGGGGGGGGGGGGGGGGGGGGGGGGGGGGGGGGGGGGGGGGGGGGGGGGGGGGGGGGGGGGGGGGGGGGGGGGGGGGGGGTGGGGGGGGGGGGGGGGGGGGGGGGGGGGGGGGTGGGGGGGGGGGGGGGGGGGGGGGGGGGGTGGGGGGGGGGGGGGGGGGGGGGGGGGGGGGGGGGGGGGGGGGTGGGGGGGGGGGGGGGGGGGGGGGGGGGGGGGGGGGGGGGGGGGGGGGGGGGGGGGGGGGTGGGGGGGGGGGGGGGGGGGGGGGGGGGGGGGTGGGGGGGGGGGGGGGGTGGGGGGGGGGGGGGGGGGGGGGGGGGGGGGGGGGGGGGGGGGGGGGGGGGGGGGGGGGGGGGGGGGGGGGGGGGGGGGGGGGGGGGGTGGGGGGGGGGGGGGGGGGGGGGGGGGGGGGGGGGGGGGGGGGGGGTGGGGGGGGGGGGGGGGGGGGGGGGGGGGGGGTGGGGGGGGGGAGGGGTGGGGGGAAGGGTGGGGGGGAGGGGGGGGGGATGTGGGGGGGGGGGGTGGGGGGGGGTGGGGGGGGTGGGGGGGGGGGGATGGGGGGAGCGGGGGGGGGGAGGGGGGGGGTGGGGGGGCGAGGGGGGGGGAGCGGGGTGGGGGGGGGGGGGTGGAGGGGGGGTGGGGGGGGGGGGGGGGGGTGTGGGGGGGGTGAGGGGGGGGGGGGGAGGGGGAGGGGGGGGGGTGTGGGGGGGGGGGGGGGAGGGGGGGGGGGGGTGAGGGTGGGGGGGGGGGGGGTGGGGGGGGGGGGGGGGTGGATTGAGGTTAGGGGGTGAATGTGGGGTTTGATATGGTGGGGGTGGTTGTGTGGATGGTAGGTGTTTTTATTTATTGTTGTATAGTTTTGTGAGTGGGATTTTGAGTTTAGTATAATATGTTTATTGATGTTGAGTAGGTATTGGTTTATAATATATTTTATTTGGGAATGTCATTGGTGAACTGTAACTGTAGGATTAACAAGCAGGTTGTTGCTTGGCTGACAACAGACACCAAGAAATATTTTTGGTTTTTAAAAACAAATCAAATAAATATATTCATAAAGCCCATTTTACAGTTTTTCTTATACTTGGAAGTAGAGATGGCAGAGACTTTAAGATCAAGCTTATGGAAAGGAGGCAACTGCATGTGAAACCAACAGATCATTTTCTCAACTGTGGATGCTTCTGACAGCGCACAGTATTTCACAACTGCAGGATAAAGAAGCAAATGGTTTATGACTTATCTGCTTCCTAATAGTTAAAATACATGAGTCTGTTGATGGCTAGTGTTTGCTTTCTTGTGAACTTAACAAAACTTTGTAAACAATTTGTCCCGACTTAAGTCCTATTCTAAATGCACAAATAGTAAATTCAATGTAAAAATCCAAAGTTTTATAAACCTTATTTATTTGATATTATCTGGTTCATGCTACTGGGAGAAGTAATAGTCGTTGACTCTAATATCTATTAAGCAGATATAACATACATATTTTTAAAATATTTAAATTAGCCATTGTCAAAATAAAAAGTTGTCATTGTATGCCCATCTTTATCATATTTTGTGTACTTTCCTCTGTATTCAATATTAATAATGCTGTTGTTAATGGCTAATGGTACTTGGCATGTAGATATGTTAATTTTTGTGCCACGAATGAACAAATGATAAAGCAATGTAACAGTACTGTAGTTAAGATACTGGTATTTGAACTCAGACTCCTGGGGATCAGTCCTGGCTCCACCTCTTACGTGTAGGCAAATCATTTCTCCTTTTAAAGTGTTGACTTCTTCATTTGTAGAACAGAAAATTCTGCTTCACTCATAGGTACCATTCTTAAATCAGATGATGCTACTACTCCGAGTAGCTATCACTTAGTGAATGCATGTGCCAGGCACTCCGCTTGTATGCTCTATTACTATAACCCTCACGACCCTAAAGGATGCCAATTTTAGTTAGGAGTGTTGCCCAAATGTTCCCCAATTCTTAAGTAGATATTTAAAGAATAAGACTTTTCTTAATGTTTCTTTCTTCAATGTTATCTTGTCAGTAAGACAACTGAAGGTGAATATATTCTGTGTTATACATATTATAATAAAAAATGTAAACAACGAATGTGTGCTCTATCTCCCCAGAGATTATAGGCAACTCTGAACTATACTAATTCTATATTTCTATTCCTGTGTGATACCTGCAATCTTACCTCAGACTGGAAATAAACAAGAACAGCTGAATAAAATCAACCATTAAGTGAACTGCTTGAACACTCAACTCTTTTTGCAGATAATTAATTCCTTTTACCCTCAACAACAACAACAAATTAAGTTTGCATACTACACGCTCAATAATCTTATCCAAAATACCTGGGATCAGAAGTATTTCAGTTTACAGAGTATTTTGGGTTTGGGGATAGCTGCAAAGATTTTTGCCCAGTGATTTAATCAGAAAACTGGAAATGCTTCAAAATATGTAACTCTTTGAACATCATGTCAATGCTCAAAACATTTCCAATTTCAGTGTTCAACCTGTACATTCAAGACTTTAATAATCTCAAAGCATGTTTTGTTCTAGAATTAGAACTGTAGAAGCAATTCTCTGAACAGCTTTCTCAAGAGCTAAATCACTAGCGGCTATTCTGGCACACTTGGGAAATTTTCACTAAAAAGGAATAGGGGGGAAGAAACCATTTTTATTTCCATGGTTCACTCAGATATGAAAATGTTGAGAAAGAGCCGAGCACATTCTGGCTCTAAGAACTTACAACGTATATCCTTTCGTAGTAGTGGCTGGATTTGTGGCTCATTAATTTTCAGAGACACTGGACAACTGGGAACTCCAAGTGACTTCCCTGGCTATAAACCCAAGTGTCCAACCTTGTGACTTCTTAGATGTGTGACTCACAGAATAACTCAAGGTTCACCAGGAGACTTCCTGAAATGCCCGGATTTCGCCACAGTTATAAAAGTAGTTTTATTTTTACCCAGGCTGTAAAAGCAAAACTCATCAGTCTTAAAAGACACTAAGAATTTTCAATAAATTGAAGCTACACTCTATTAAATCTCATCACACATAAGAGTTAAAGAATTACATGGGAAATTTCTAAAACTCATTAGTGAAAAAAATTCACCTTAGAGTTCCATCTCCTACTTAAAACAAAATAGAAAAAGGTACTAGCAAAGTAGCATTTCCTAAATGTCAAAGGGGCAAGCAAAGAGGTATGCAATTGCTCTTTATTTTTTCTGATAGAAAACTCCCATTGCCCAGTACTGACTCATGATCATCGTGTTCATTTATACATTACAGGGACCTTCTTAAACAGCTAACTGTAACTTCTCTTGTGTAATGGAAGAACAAGCTAGTTAATGTCATAGTATTTCATAGAAAATACCACTCGTTACATTTACCCCAATGCTAAATCTTGGATTTCAGGGTGTTTTCCATGTATGAGTTATAGTTAAAAACAATTTTAAAATTAAACATAAAAACTCAAATTTTGACATATCAGCCAATAAGATTGTACCCTAACTGTAGAAAAAGAGGGAAAATATTTATGCTCTTTATTCTATCTATATACACGGGCCATTAAGGCAGCTTTCAAGCTATTGATCAAGAACACAACCCAAAGATTAAGACTTGACAAGCAAAATTCAGGATAAACTACTCAAACTAGAGGTCAGCGTCTACTCCTCAGACGGAGGAGGCAGACGGTTCATCACTGTGCTTTGGGGAGCACACAGAGCCTCTCCCTGACCTGCAGTTGCCCGGGGTGGGAGACGTTACTGGCAAGTGTGGGAGGACTAGCTGAAGGAAACCTTGCTAGCAAACCACAAAAGGGAATACAGAGGAGACACTGGCAATTTGCCAAGCATCTCAACGGTGTAGCCCAATGCAATGGGCCTTCCAATCCAAGTGACACCACGGCGAAGACATCCAGCCAGCGATGTTTTACCTATCTGCGGAAAACATATCTCTGGCTGTATCAGACATGCTACTCTTGGCTCAGAAAACAGAACAGTGAAAGGATTCACTCATATTCTCTCTCTCTCTCTCTCTCTCTCTCTCTCTCTCTCTCACACACACACACACACACACACACACAGAGATCAAGGAGTTGATTTTTTGAAGAAGGCATAGTTAGGGAAAAGGGAATCATAGTAGTCAGAAACGTAAAATAAATTTGTGATGATTTTGTTTTGTAATTTTTCCTGAAATTTTTTTCCAAGCATGACTATAAAAATCTCACACTCACACTGCACGTACATTCAACAACCTTACAAAGCTGTGCCAGTGACTCATCAGTGCTAGCTAACGAGTAATGTATGTAAGTCATTGTTTTAACAAGAATTTGACTTTCTTTGTGCATCATCAGGGACTTCGGGGAGTTGATGGTATCAGATGTAGAAGAAACATCAGTGACCCAGAGCAATAGAGGAAGGAATACTTTGAGAAATCCACAATGCCATGGTAACCAGCGTTACGTGATGAGCATGCATTGAATAAAGTGAGGGCCTGTTTGGGGGAAACGAGAACCAAGACCAGGAGGGGCCTGAGGAGCAGTCAGGCATGTTCACAAGGGTTACGAGGAAAATCATTTAAAGGAAGCATACCAGAAACCCTTAGGTGGAAGGCCTCTTCTACTTGCATGTATACGCAACTGGGGTTTGCAGAGTTCTGAGAACTAAGAATTGAGCACCCAAAGTTTCTGGGTACAAATCCACTCAGAATGGAAAATGAGTGCGTGGGCAGCATGCCACAGCCTCAAGAGCTGCTTCACTTCAACTTCACTTATGGAAAGTGTACCAGAGGGCCTGGTTCAATAGCCTAGTGGCTAGTCCTCGCTTTGCATGCACTAGGATTCCATATGGGCATTGGTTCTGTCCTGGCTGCTCCACTTCCCATCCAGCTCCCTGCTTGTGGCCTGGGAAGGCAGCAAGGGACTGCCCAAGGCCTTGGCACCCTGCACCCGTGTGGGAGACCTGGGTTCGGACTGGCTCAGCTCCAGCCGCTGCAGTCACTTGGGGAGTGAACCAACATATGGAAGCTCTTTCTCTCTGTAAATCTTTCTGATAAAAATAAAACAAATGTTTAAAAAATGTGTGTAAGAGTGGGTCAAGGAGACAGAGGGTCTAAGGGATTCAGGTGCTGCACAGTCAGGCCCTCTGCAGCAGCTAGGGGAGATGAGAAAAAAATCTTACAAACTCTCAGCAGAGCCAATGACGGCACATAAGGAACCAGGAGCTGCATTCACCTTGATACTTGCTATTTCTTTCTTTTTTTAAAAAAGCAATTTTTTAAAAAGATTTATTTCTTTATATTGGAAAGGCAGACATACAGAAAGAGGAAAGACAGAAAGATCTTCCATTTGCCAGTTCACTCCCCAAGCGGCCACAAAAGCTGGAGCTGCACTGATTCAAAGTCAGGAGCCAGGAGCCTCCTCCAGGTCTCCCATGCGAGTGCAGGGTCCCAAAGCTTTGGGCCGTCCTCAACTGCTTTCCCAGGCCACAGGCAGGGAGCTGGATGGGAAGTGGAGCTGCCGGGATTAGAACCGGCGCCCATATGGGATCCCGGAGCGTGCAAGGCAAGGGCATTTAGCTGTTAGGCTACCACGCCGGACCCAATACCTGCTACTTCTTTATAACAGACACTGAAACAGAATGAAAGCTCTGACACTATTTTAGAAGAATTAAGGGGAAGATGATTGAAAAAACAGAAAGTTGGGCCCAGTGCGGTGTGGCCTTACAGCTAAAGTCCTCACATTGCACATGCCGGGATCCCATATGGGGGCTGGTTCGTGTCCTGGTGGCCCTGCTTCCCATCCAGCTCCCTGCTTGTGGCCTGGGAAAGCAGTCAAGGACAGCCCAAAGCCTGGGGACCCTGCACCTGTGTGGGAGACCTTGAAAGGCTCCTGGCTCTTGGCTTCGGATCATTGCAGCACTGGACTTTGCTGCCACTTGTGGAGAATCATCGGACGGAAGATCTTCCTCTCTGTCTCTCCTCCTCTCTGTATATCTGACTTTGCAATAAAAATAAATAAATCTTTAAAAAAAATAGAGAGTTGCATGTACATCTTAATGTTTGTTGTGCGGCAAAGCATGCAAATTATAACATTACGACAGCAGGTTTAACCAGGGGCAACTTTTGTGCCCCAGAGGTTGTTTGACAACGTCTGAGGACATTTTTCATTGCAATAACTGGAGTGGGGATACTCTTGGCTTCTGGTGGGGGGCAGGATCCTTTGAAGCATCCTACAATATCCAGGAGTCTCCCCCAACCATCTGGCCCACATGTTGCCACTGTGGCTGGTAGGCGACTCTGTACTATGAAGACACATCTCCCCAAATCTCAGGGAGAAAGTGCTTCTCCACAGGTTCCATTACAGGCCATGTGGCATTATTCACTCAAATCTAACCAAACAATCCTTTTCAGAAGCAATGAGGATGATTTCAAAAGAAACGCCACCCAAGAATTTCACTTCTTCTTTAGGGTAAGGGACAGCATATTTTTGGCTATATACAGAATAGCTGCACTTTGCTAGGCCAATTATTACTTTGTGTTGTCTTTATGTAGAATTAAGTGCAGTGTATGGAGATGCATACGGGCAATAAGTTGACAATGGGTAGATTTGTGATTACTTTCATGGTACTGACTTGATTTAATGAAGTTAGTATCTAGAAACCTGGAGAAATCTTGGTTTTGGTGTGTCTGAGAGGGTGTTTGCAAATGAGATTAGCATGTGAGTCTGAGAGTATTGGATGGAAAGACCTTGGGGTCTGCCCAGACTAAATGGGAAAGTGACTTGGGGCTTTTGTAGAGAAAAAGAAATGTGTGCATGCTCACACACTGGGAATTGCTCAATTCTTGTCTCGAATGTCAGTTGGTGACCTCTGAACTCCAGTTACCCCCTTGCTAGAACTTACATTTTAGTCTCAAACTGACTCCCATTCTTGGCTTGTCTGACACCAAGGCCTCTGGACTTGGATTGTGCCACTCTCGTCATCCCAGGCCCTCCAGCCTGCAAAGCACCTGTTTTAGGGCTTCTCAGCTGCCACCGTCACCTCAGTCAAACCCCCTTATAAACTCCTCAGATGCTTAAAAAACAGAGCAATGCCTATCAAGTAGAGAAAAATAATGATCACAAATGGTAAGACCTTTGGGAACTCTTAACACTTCGGAACCATGGCTAACAATCAATCAGGAGACAAGGTGGGAGGGAGCGAGAGAGAGAGGAGCAGGAGGAGGAAGAAAGGAAAGAGGGAAAGGGGAAATTGGAACTAATGTGGGAAGAAAAATGAGAATATTATTTTCTAGATAGACTGCTTTACTGGCAAAGACACTAATAAAACAGATTAAGTGAAAAAATCTAAATTATTAGCCATGTGAGGTGTATTGCATTCAAATTTTCACAAAGCTCACTATGTTTGAATACCCCTACTAAAAAGTCCTGAGTAAGTTCTACTCTCCGGAAAAAGCTATATTAGAGAATACTGCTGAAGTTACCTTCAAAATCCATCTGGAATCTGTCTTTTTTTTTAACCACCCGCATTGATCGTGCTCTGGTCTGAGCCAGGCAGGTGCACCTGCTGTCTCCCCTACTCGTGAGCAGAAAGCCAAAGAGTGCCACTAAAACAGAAAGTCAAATCATAGTCTGTCATCGCTCCAAACTGTGGCGACTCCTCATTTTTTTCTCCCAGGGCCGCTTTGAGCCCCTCTTGTTTCCTCTCTGATTTTACTCATTTTTCCTTAGTGACACTCATCTCTCTGGTGTCCCTCCAACAGGCCGCCTAAGTTCCTGTCTTAGTGCCCCAGCATCCGCGCTTCCTTTTACTCAGAGCTCTCTTCCTTCAGACAAGTCTTTGCTCTATGTCATCTCCACATGGCCTGCTTTGCCCACCCTATTTTAAACTGCAGCTCCTCCCTAGCATTCCTTATCCTCTGACCACTCTAGTTTATTTTTCTGTAGTATTTTCATCTGCTACCCCACTATACCAGTATAGTTTCCTTATTTCCCTGAACAACAATGTCAGTTCCATGAGAGTACTGAGTTGGGTTCACTGATGTATTTCCAATTCCTAAGACGCTGTCTATACAAGGATGAATGTCATAAGAAAAATATACCAGGGGCCAGTGTTGTGGCGTGGTTAACTAAGCAGCTGCCTACGATGTCAGCATGCTATATGGGTACCAGTTGGTGTCCTGGGTGCTCCACTTCTGCTCCAGCTCCCTGCAAATGGCCAGGGAAAAGCAGTGGAGGATGACCCAAGTCCTTGGGCCCTGTCACCCATGTGGAAGACTAGGATGAAGCTCTTGCTCCTGCTTTGACCTGGCCCGACTTGATCTTAGCCAAAAGGCCAGAAGTCATAAGAAGTTTATTCTGGGCCCGGCGCGGTGGCACAGTGGTTAAGGTCCTCGCCTTGCATGCCCAGGATCCCATATGGGCGTCGGTTCTATCCCGGCAGCCCCGCTCCACTTCCACCTCCCTGCCTGTGGCCTGGGAAAGCAGTCGAGGACGGCCCAAAGCTTTGGGACCCTGCACCCGCGTGGGAGACCCGGAAGAGGCTCCTGGCTTTGGATCGGCATAGCATTGGCCGTTGCGCTCACTTGGGGAGTGAATCATCGGATGGAAGATCTTCCTCTCTGTCTCTCTTCTCTGTATATCCGCCTTTCCAATAAAAAAAAATAATAAAAATAAATCTTTAAAAAAAAACAAGTTTATTCTTAAAGGAACTCTGAGAAACTATCTTATTGGAGACAGGGTCACCTGTGAAGAGGGAGAAGCCTTAAATGAGACCACTCCCAGCTGTTCTAGCCACCTCAGCTGAGGGCAGAAAAGGAAGCAAAGCCTTTGTGGAAACCAACCACATGGCCTCAGCCAGCAGCGTATGACACAGAAGTTAGCAGTCCCTTGAAGTTTTGCCCCAACTGCAGAAATGCAAGCAAATGAATGGCAGCTGTTGCCTGAAGTCACTAAGCTCTGGCATGCGTGTGTCTGGTATAGGGGGGAGCATATACACTTGCTTTATCTCCCTACTACCCCGTAATACTTCATGGCTCCAAGAACTGTGGTCTGCATCAAGTAAGAACTCAGATATTTTGCTGAATAAATAAGTCAGAAATTAAAATCAGAGGTGAAGTAATCTATTTGGATTTGGTTTGGGGTTATCATTATTTCAAATACTCATCAAAAGTTGACCTTATTTACCAGAAGAATCACAGTTTTCTATCAATAATTACCATATGATATCGATACACTGATCTTTCAAGAATGATTCATTCAAAATAAAACTGCCTTGAGCAAAATAATTTCAAACAGTGCTATTACACAAATCGATAATTTCTGATACATTTTAAGCCTACAGCTTATATACCTTATAATGCATACAAGGAGATATATTTCTGTACCTGAGTATCTCATAAAGCTAATGGAAAATGGAATTAAAAGCATGGATTTACTTTGGTGTTAAGGTTATTTTAACAATATATGAAAAATATATATTATAAAAAAAATCTATGCAAGGATTTTTTTACATCAATATAAACTCATGCTCTGTAAAAATATACTTATTTTGAGAGGCAGAGGAAAAGAGCGAGAGGAAAAAAAACAAGCCCGATTGCTGTTTCCAAGTGCCAACAGCCGTGGGCTGGGTCAGGCCAAGGCCCAGAGCCATAACTCCATCTGGGTCACCTGCCAAGAACACCAGCTGCATCCAGGGCTCCACTAGCAGAGCAGGAAGCGGAATCGGGTGGAGCTGACACCTTTACCCCAGCTGCTCCAAAATGGGATATTAGTGCCTTAACTGCTAGGTCAAAGGCCTATCACTAAACTCTTAATTCCACTTTCCACAAACTTTTTGAAGTCTCTTTGTATCTGTACTTTCCTACAGTAACTATATACAAAAGAATACCACAGCGTGCCACTAAAGTTGACAATTTCCTCCTTTTACCTTTCTGTACTTATTCTCTTTGGATTACTGAAGAGCACTTTTTAAGTAAAAGAGCTATGTATCCATTGGGTTTTCATAACAGTAGTATTATTTCTTCAGAAACTTCTCAAATATTTATGGAAACTTTAACTAAACTTTACTTGTTTCTAAAAAAATTTTAAATGCACTGGAGAAACCAGGCCTTTAGTAATCTATCGTAAGAGAACAAGCATCTCGCTTGGAGAGAGGCTATTGTCAAAGTTAGCCCATGGCCAGAGAGGCCTCAAGTGTTTCCTAGTCATTCTAGGCTTTGGAAGGGATTGGGGCTCAGTAGAAAGGCCTACTGGTCTGCCTGCCTGTCTCTATTTTCTGCTTGACACTGTTATAGCTGGGAACACAAAGTTTTCAATATATTTTCAATGGCATTAAACAGACAGGCTGAATAACGATAATGCTGATATTAATGTTTTCAAATTACGTTTAAAAGTTATCTGCAAATACAATGCCAACTATTTACATGATAATGTAGAAATATAAGCAATGGTTAAGTTCTATTTAAGATAACATTTTAATTTTCCTTCCAATTAATATAGTATACGATATTATTTAGTTTTCTCATTTTTATCTCTCTCACACACAATGGTTAAAAAAAATAATAAAATTTTAGACTGCTTGAAAGTTTTAGTAAAAACAAAGACACAGAAATTATAAAGAATGTTCCTATTAAGAATCAATACAGGGGGTCATATATAAAGCAGTTCAACAAAATGGTATTTGTAAGTAAACTAAAGATGCCCTCTTAAAGAGATCTAGTGCAGCTTTCCTTCAGATGGTGAAGTAAGAGATAAAAAGGACTTACTTTCACATCCCGGTGAATGATGTTGTTATCATGACAGTAGCGCAGAGCTTCCAGGATCTGTCTCATGTAATGGCTGTAACAAACAAAAGAAATCTAAAACTGTAAATATTTCTTATCTTTAGGAGCTTATATACAGTGATCTCCCATCTTCTGTAAACTAAAAATTTAAACTTAGGACAGCAAAAATCCACATTTTTCTAATATACATTTACTAGATTCCTATTAAGGAAACAGTGCTTGGAGCTACCCCAAAGATGCTGAATAAAGGTATATTTGCCAGCAAAGTTGGCTTTCTACCTTATTTACATTTATCTCGGAGGCCACACGATGGCAGAATACTCCCCTGTGTACAATTTCTTTATGTAACAGTCAAGTTTCAGTTGCAGGAATCTTTGAACAAAGCACAGTTGGAGGTTCATGTCCTAGTAGGTGTGGCTCCCCACAGAGCCAGCTGGGCCCTATGAGGCTCCCTTATCCGGAACAGGTGAAGAAAAAAGCAGGGACTAAACAGTTTTTTAAAGTCATTAAAAAGTAGTAATAGGATGCATTAGCAAAGGAGTGTGACAATACAAATGTTCCTTGTCTTACAATGGGTTTAATAACATCCCAACGAGCCAATTGCACAGGTTGAAAATGTATTTAACACAGCCAACCAACTGCACATGGAAAGTCAGCCTAACCTATTCAAAATATTGTCAAAAAATTTAGATCAACTTCCGATCTGACACTGAGAGAAAGCACTGTACCTCATAGTACCAGTTTGGGAAAAGACAATTCAAAATTTGAAATATGGTTTTTACTGAATTTGCACTGATTCTGAACTAACATAAAGTAAAAAAAAAAAAAGTAAAGAACTATGGCAAGATATGAAGTGTCTTAATATATTCATTACCACTTTAGAATTTTCCTTCTCTACCAAAGTTGCTCTATTTCTCTACTCAGTGCTCCATCTTTTCTTATCCAGTTCATTCATTTTGCTTCTGCCTTTCTCTTTTATTTCTATTATCCCAATTCCTTTCTCATTTTTTTTCTTTTTCTTCCCAGCCAGCCATGACAGAGAAATGCAAGAGACTCAGCACCATTTATTATAGTCACTGATTTCTTTCTTTCTTTTTTTTTTTTTTTTTCGCTTTCAGATCTTGTATTTCTGCTTTAAAATATAAACCACTATGGCGTGTGTTTGACTCTGTTCCTCCTTATAAGACTTCTCACAAGACTTTCAGGATCAAGAGATCTCTGGCAAAGAAAGAAAGCAAAAGCACCTCATTCCCCAAACTATTCAGATGGAAACTGGAAATAAAATCAGTTGCAACTCTAATAGAAGACATCAGGAAAGAACCAAGTTGGTTCTACAAGGAATTGCACATAAGATGGCACACCTACTAATGCTGTATCAAGGCCACTGTCATGTTATCATATCAAGCTGAAAATGTCTCAACAGTTGCCCATGTTTTATTGGGAACATAATTTTTCTCTCTGCTTCTATGGCTCTGTATTAGTAGGTTGGGTTAGTAATAAATATGTGAAAACTTTTGGAAAAAAAACTAGGCAGGTTAACAGTACTCACAAATCACTTTATATGTATGTTTATGATTCAAGCAAAAAATAAAATTCTCTACTTCTGTTTCATAATTGAAAGATATTTTAGGGCTATTCCTGTTGCCCAGTGGGTTAAGCAACTGTCTGTGATACTGGCATCTCATAGGAACACCAGTTTGAGTTCTGGCTGTTTCTCTGCTTGGGTCTCTGCTACGCACATGGGAGACCCAGATGGAATTCTGGGCTTCTGCCTTGGGTCTTGCCCAGCAACAGCTGTTGTAGCCATTTGCGGAGTGAACCAGTGGAGGGAAGATATCTCTCTCTCTCTCTTTCTCTCTCTCAGCCTTTCAAGCCCAGACTGGACTACTTAGATACGCAGTATACTATCACATCTAAACTAACTGTGCTCAGCCTTCCACTCAATGATTTCTTGGTGACACTGTATTTATATAGTACGTAAGCAGAATCAAAAGAGAACCAAAATCTAAATACATATTCTGCAGAGTTGCCAACTAAACTTGGCATCTAAAAGTTACATTTTCTGAAGCACCATAGTGATTTACACTTCCCTGAGGGTCAGAAAAGATAATTCTGGAAGAAAACAGCTGGCCAGCCAGCAACACATTGACCTTTCTCAGAGGGAGCTATTATGGGGGTGAGTGGCGGAAAAAGAAGGTCCCCCTTGCTAACTGTGGGTAAAAAAACTAACGTTACTTGCCAGGCAGACAATATCTTACCCCTGCATTGCCCTTAACAGAATGTGTCTGGCTAATTGCTGTGAAACACAGTCTAGGATCTCTGAGACATGGATGCTTTCCTAGAGAATGCCACACAGCTGTCCACCTTGGAGGGGTATAAAATGGAGACGTTCAATAACTGAGATGTTGCCCTGTGCTCAGGGAGAGGCTTTCTTCTCTGTGCCAGAAATGGATTTCATTCTTTCTTTTAAAAAGGCTTATTCATTTTAGACCAGAGTTACAGAGAGATACGAAGAGATTTTTAATCTGTTGGTTCACTCTCTAGATGGCTACAACAACTGAAGCTAGGCCAGGTTGAAGCTAGCAGCTCACCCACATGGGTGGCAAGGGCCCAAGCACTTGGACCCTCTTCCTCTGCTTTTCCCAGACCCTCAGCAGGGAGCTGGATTAGAACTAGAGCAGCCAGGACTTGAATCAGTGCCTATAAGGGATGCTGATGCCAAAGGCGGCAGCTTTACCCACTATACTACAAGGCTGGCCACTAGAAGTAAAATTTTTGATGGGAAAAGAAATGACATGCGAGAGCTGCCCTTGATGGCTCAGATCTCTTTTTGTTTTAGCTGGGATTTTGTTTCCCTATATCCTTGAATTACTTAGCTGAGCTTGGTATGATGTAAGAAGAGGTCTCTGATTTGCCAGGTTGATCTGATAATTTGATCCTGTGTGTTAGCCCACTCCACGACTCATCACCCATGAAAGGACAAAGGTAATCACTAATTGGGCTATACTAAGGACGGAACACTATGTTATTTTATGCCATGCTTTGCTGCTCCTCTTGATGCTCAGCCAGTTGGAAAAAAAACCTCACTGATTTGATTACTTGCTATTTCAGAGCCTTCTTATGAACTTTGTATCACTGGAATACTGATGTAACCTGAATTTCCTAACAATGAATTAGAGTTATAGAACAGGAAGTAGGTTAGACGTCATCTGACCAAATGCTATATACACCAAAGGAAAAATCTACCTGCCCTTGCTGCATGATCAAGAGTTCTCGGTAATAGAGGACATCCTTAACAGTATTTTTCAAGCCTTCCATCCCTCCACACACCATTTTATTATTATTAGGAAGAAAATTCTAAAACGAATTATCCAAACAATATCTTACTGCAATGTTAGTTTTTGGTGGTTCATTCTGAGAAATTCCCTTTGCAAAATCATTTTTTTTTTGTCATAAAACTCAAGGTTAGGAGAGACAAGAAGCAATTTCATTGTTGGGACATCACCTCTATGCAAGTATCATTTTACCTATCTTTGTTCAGTGGCAAAGCCAGGCTTAAAATCAAGGAGAAGCAAAAGAAAAAAAAGAAAAGACTCACGAATAGAATGAAAGTGGTGCTGGCTTACTAGCAACTTGATCAGTATATATGCCAGGAACCCCAGTATTACTGTGGTTTGAAAGAAAAAAAATACTATATTATAAAATTTTGGATCTCTGGCTGTTCCTTATTTTATGCTGCTCCTGCAAGTTAGCAATCAATATAAGAAAGTACGAAAGGTGAATCTCCCTGAATTCCATAAGAATACAAACTTCAAATTGGGTTAAGAGCTCCCAAATTAGGATGTACTTTGAAGATGGTACGATAGAAAAGAGGGTATTTTAGCCTTGTTCTACCACATATACTCTAAGATTCTAAACTAGTTATAGTTAACATACACATATATACAAACTTTCATTTGCTTCTTTTTGGCTTTAGAAGTATAAAAAAGTAGCTACTGCACATTGAGCATATTCTTCATTCTGTGCTACAGATATGGTGGCTCCAGCCTTAAGACTGGACCCTTTGTTCCTCAGCCAGGAGGCTGTGTGGCAATGAATTTGCAGATAGTCAAGCCACGTCAGGTTCAAAGGTGTAGTAAGACGATTTTGAAGTTGTTTCCAGCTATACCTATAATGTTATAATGAAAAAATTAGAGGAGGGGCAAAGTTATTATCCTTTAACATACATGTTTCTGAAGTGCTAAAAGTTTAGTAAGTTCTAACGTGTTTCTGGGTTCAAACCCTTCAGTACGGTTGGTGAGTGAGGAGGGGTGATGTATTTCATGTATTTACAAGGCAACCCACTGGAGTAGAGATTTATGATATGAGGGAATGTAATCAAAGCAGACAACTGTACTACTGTAACCATATAAGCTAGAGGCTCAGCACATGCTTGGCTCCTGAGATTTTTCATATTTATTTCTTATCTGGAACCATTAGGACTTTATAGCAACTATACTACTTTGAAACTGGCCATCATTTGATTGGGAGAACACACTGGCCTGAAGCAAATTTATTCAGCAGAAAACAGCACTTTAATTTCAGTTGCTTTGACTGTACTGTGCTTTCTCTCGGATTAACTGATCACATAAAATTTTGCTAACATTAAAAGGCAAAATGATGAACTAATGAGGCACATCTTCCAAAAAGTAAAAATCAAACAAAACCCCCAACTTGAATTCTACATGGTTCCTGAGCTGTCAGATCTTTACTTGTACAAAAGTCCTCAGAAATGAAAAAGATAGGCATACTGATGTGAAAATGTAAATGTATGCTAAAAGAAATAAATTCCCTGGTGCAGCATGTTGCATTTCTAGGAATTGTTCAGTTCCACTAATACATTCTAAAATAGATATGCACATTCCTTACAGCAAAGAGCAGCGGTATGCTCATTGTCACATTGCAGGAAGGTCTCTTCATGTGACGGCTCTGTCGTTTCCCTCTTCTTTGTCCACCTGTACCCATGGGGATTAGATACAGACTACATACCTGGCTACAGCTTCACTGTACACAAAACCAGCATCAGCTCGCTTCACAATTTCAAAACACAGATCCGCTCCATCCATACTGCAGAGAAATATGAAAAGTAAGTAAGAACAGAGGAATTTTGGGATAACATGGCAAGTGATACACTGTAACTAAATTAATAGTTGACTGATTAATAATAGGAAGTACTCAAAATTTTTCTTTCAAAGAAAAATAGACCAAAATTATAAAGTCATTATAATCGTGTTAACATTAAAAGTTTACAGGGAAAGAGGAAGAATAAATAACATTTGTTTGAATCCAATAACACGAGGTATAGAAAATTGACTGTGAATCTTCTTTAGGCTATCGTAATAAGAAGTCTAAGAAAGAAGGCTGTGGGCATAGTTTAAAGGCAAATTCCCAAATTATCTATGTCTAGTCACATAAAGTAATACTAAAAAATATTTTGCTTTAGTTACCTTAATTAAATGGGAAATTTTGTCTACATGCTGTAGACTTAAAAGATGAACCAATCTAAACTAATTTTTGCTTATACTTTCATTATCAAAGTTAACTGTTACACATTCCAACATATTCATATATTGGTGACACAGTGTCACTATCTTACTCTAAAACTTAAAACAGTGTTCCATCTTGCCGGACAGGTGAGGCTTCTGGTCTTGCCATACCTCTACTATCCTTACCTACCTCACCCAATGCTTTAAGAAAGTCTTATTCTGTAGGCAAACAGTCCTATTATTACTCCCTGAATATGTCATTTTGTTTATTTATTTTCCCACATGCTTCTTATATTTAAAACCAACCTGGAAGCTCCCTCAATGAAGCCAAATTAATGCCTTTGCTTCACTTTAATAATTCTATATATTCCACATCATAACAGTTCACATTTTCATACACATAGAAACATATATTAATAACTTATATTTTTATGCTTTAAGGCTTATAAAATGTTTTAACATCCATTATCTTATGCTTTCATTTATTCAGTAGCTCAAACTCTAATATAACTGTTCTAAGAACTGTACTGAGGAAACAGAAAGTTCTACAAGGGGTAATAAAAGAACTGTCTAAAATATCTCTTGGGAAACACTTCCTGCTTTGTTTCCCTTCCCACAAGCCAGCATCATCCTCTTAGGTCATTTGTCTAAGTGAGTCCAAAAGAATGTAATAGGGACAGGATTCAAATTCCAATCTAGTCATTTCCACTGTTCTTGCCATTGACTGCAGCTATACTAATGGAGTGTGCAAGGAACAAATTGCAGACTCAAGGCCTACAGTAATTCAACAATAAACCAAATCACAAGAATACTAATATTCCTCCTTCAATAGCCAACAGAACATTTGGTACCCAATAGATAGTTCATGAACAGCTGAGTGTGTTATTTGGGTCTTACTGTGATGTCAATGGAAGTACCTTCTCATTTACACAATGTTTTAAATGTTTATGTAGTTTCCATTTCATAGCTAATGAACATGTTCCAATGCTGGGTAGGATTCTTCTTCAAAATAAGGTTTAGGATAAGTTCAGTCTGAAGTGTGGGAGCCATCAGTTTCCACCACCAGAAAGAAATCCTGGAAAATGTGATCATGTGAGCTCTGATCACCCACACTATCCCTACCAGAAGAGTTTTGGATATGCACGCAGCTGAAAACATTTTTAACAATTCATGCTCTCACTACCCAGCAGGTTTATCTTTGCCTCTCCCTCTTTGTTACTAGAGAGGCTGTATGTTTCTCATTTCTTTGTATTGTGGGGAGAAAAATAAATGTTATTTGTAAAACTGGCTGCATATTCAGCTGGTTAGCTGATATGTAAAGGGCTAACAATCATCTCATAGTAAAGATAGTAGTTCTGTTTAGGTGTTTTCCTTTTTAATTGTGAAATGTGAGTTGAAGTACTATTCAAATTAAATAAGAGAGGAGATAGGCAAAGCACAGTGAGAAACTGTTTAATAAAGCAGTAATAATGTGGGAGTTATTTTGAGAGCTAGAGACTTGTAGAGGGATCTGGAAGGTAAGAGATAAAGGAGATGCAGGGCAAGTAACAGCAATGGTGGAAGGTTAAAACACAACACAGAGAACCAGTTCAGTCTGTGAGAACTAACTGGGAATTATTTGCTGCTCTGTGCTACACTGACCACCATGGATCAAGCCAATTTGTTCAGTCATGTCTGAGACAGCAGTAAGTCAGATGACAGTTTCGACAAATATGCATGCACACACATGCTAGTTCGGTTTCTACTCTCGCTGACTGACCTAGTTATTCTTAGATCTAATATCGTACGATTTTAAAATCTGTAGAAGTACATATTTTCACATCTGGCAAAACAAACCTCATCTCATTATTCTTTGTCAACATTTTGTTATGAATTTTTCTCCCAAAGGAACTTTCAACCTGCAAAACTGAAGATTTTTTTTTTACTCTGATGGCATTATATTTCTATATTAACTTCTAGGTGTTTGTATCTTTTCTAATATTCTCACCCATGAACATGCTATGCCTTCTTATTTCCTTTCATGTCTCTGCATTTTCAGGTTTTTTAATAGACTTGTTATTATAAACGGGGTCTTAAAAAAAGGATTTATTTATTCAAAGTGAAAGTTATAGAGAAAGAGGGAGACGGAGACAGAGAAATCTTCCATCCTCTGGCACACTCCCAAAGTAGTCACAAGGACCACTTAAGGTAGGAGCTCCACTTGGGTCTCCCATGTGGGTGGCAGGGGCCCTCTTCTTGCACCTCTCTCAGGTAAGTAGTAGGGAGACGAATCGGAAGATAGGAATTGGGAAACAAACCAGTGCCCATGACACTGCAGATGATGGCTTAACCTACAACACCACAAAACTAGCTCTACAAATATTTTTCGAACATTTTTGGAATATTTATAATCCAGTTCATAAGCAGGGATATTCTCCATTGAAGGGTTATTCTACAGGAAAGTCATCACTGTGAAAGTACTTTTCTCTCACTACAGCTATCTGATTAATTATTACAACATTAATTGCTAGTAAAGTAAAAGAAGTAACCAATTAATTTTAAATTTTATGATACAAAAATAAATGATAGACCAGTGTTTTGGTTTGTCTGATTAATTTTCCACCTCCAATTGTCCAAATGCCATATGGGCCACCAGTTTATGTATCAGTTGCCTGACTTCCCATCCAGTGTCCTGCATATGGCCTGGGAAAGCAGTTAAGGATGGCCCAATGTTTTACCCTGTACCCATGTGGGAGACCCAGAAGAAGCTCCTGGCTTCTGGCTTCGGATCAGCTCAGTAGTGGCCATTGTAGCTGCTTGGGGAATGAATCAATGGAATATCTTTTTGTCTTTCCTCCTCTCCATATATGTGACTTTCCAATAAAAAATAAATAAAGCTTAAAAACACTAAAATACTGTTATTTATATGAATTCTATTCCTCACAGAAATTTAAAACACACACACACACATTCATAACACACATAATCCTAATAACGGCATTCTGAACAAAACTGATGACTCAATTTACTTGATAACAGAATTAAAAACAATGACAAGATTCTTTTATTGCCTTCCTCTTTCTCTTTCCATCTTTGGGTGTTTCAAGTGTGCTCAAGAACTTTCAGACAACTTGTTCTGAATTACTCCACTTTAGTTAGAAGAAGTAAAATGAGAGGAAAAAATCTGTTTATGTAAGCTTACAGGGAGGGCTTCAATGCTGCTCACATGAAAAAACCAAGGCAAGTTTACTCAGATTTATCAAAAATGAGACATAAATAAGTTGATTCCCCTATTATTTTGTCTATTTGATTTGATAAAGTCTTTATAATAAACAAGCATTTTTTCCCACATGAAAGACCTGGAAGGAGCTCCTGGCTCCTGGGTTTGGATTAGACAAGCTCCGGGGATTGAACCAGTGGATGGAAGAGCTCTGTGTCTCTCCTCTTGCTCTATATCTGCCTTCCAAATAAAAACAAGTAATTTAAAAACATGTAATATCTATTTAATTAAATACCCCCAAACCAAATAAATCAACCAGACTATACGTCTAGATGCACAAACCATGAATATCCTCTGTACACTAAAGGAGATCAGAATACGCCACCCCAAAATATGCTGTCTTAGAAGTATTACTTTAAGCTGAAGGCAGAAACTCATGCCCTATGATTTCATAGCAATGTCAAAGTGCTAGAGCAACTTCTAAATATTTACTCTCAATTTCTGTACCTATGTCATCACTGACCAGTAACAGATGGTAGACTGGCACTCGTGCGAACTATTCTTTTTCAAACATGGCTGTAAAGGACAGACCAAACCTGGATTTCTCTGAAAATGACAAATGCAACAACTATAAACTAGACAGTTTTTTTTAAAAACATAGGATGCAAATTTGAAAAACCAAGCAAAAATGCCATCAGAATGGAGCTAAAAGAAAACTGAGCAGTCTAGGAAACATAGTAATAATACCATCTTGCAATCATAAATAATTAAAGCTAACATTTTTTGAGTGCTTACTGTGACAGGTATTTTCTAAGTTCTTTACATGCATTAACTTAGTGAATGGCTATAAGAAATCTAGGAGGTAGATATTACAACCATCCTTATCTTGCTTATGAAAAAACTGAGAAATGGCAGAAGTAACTTGCCCAAGAAAGAACAGTGCTAGCATCAGGATTCCAACTCAGACAACCAGACATGAAAATAATAATCATCACCTATTCCCAAAATGGTTACAAAGAAGGATGCTCCCTAACTCCTGCTCAAGGCTTACAGCTACTTCATGAAAGACAAGAGAGAATAATTAACTGGGTAAAATTCTAAATAACTAATCCATTTTTTGCCTATGAAGGAAGAAACTGGATTGGGGGAAAACTCTAAGGTGAATTAAGCTCTCCTCTCCATCCATACACCATGACTGGGATACAATCGTATTCTTCCACTTTGAACCTTGCAGGCATCACAGAAATACTTAGATAAGATTGGTAACTACAACAGGCAAGCAGATAGGAACATTCAACTTTTCAATGGAGGAAGGGGTTAGTCACTGTAATTGGAACTTAATTGCTTAATAAAGCAATTCTGATAGATTGCTAAAGATATCA